ATATTCTTCAATAGTCTCCCAAAATCACAATAACCTATTTATGTGCTATTTTGTTCCAAATTACTTGATCTTTTATAGACATTGTATCCAAAACTGATTAAGGAGTTTGAATATTGATCTACATTTTTTTTTTTGTTAAAAGAAGAAAAATCACTATTTTAAAAATATGAATTTTTTTAAACATATAAATATTGCTTATGATTAACACAAGGAAACAAAAAACAATAATAATATAATATATTCGGTTTAAATTAACTGGAAAAAAATACCGTAGTTTGCTAAAAAATTGTATAATGATTAAAATATGTGGAACGTTTTACAGTGCCAAAAACAATTTATTTCAGTTAATACTCAAAGCATTGTTACTTTAAAAACAATCAATACAACACATTCTTTAGTTGGTATTAGGATATACGATTGTATATCTTAGTGTAAGTTTAGTATTTATGTAGAAATAAAAAACACAATAATAATATGATTTAACACAATACTATTAAACATAAATATCACAGTACAATGATTGATTATAAAATACAAAACGTTATTATACAATGTTACAGTTTTACAGTAAAAAGTATATATTTTATATTATTTTGACTGTATTGACTTCAACTTCCCAGTGAGGTCTTATAAAAAGTATGGACTGTTAATATGCCACCGAAGTGGATAATATGTTGTATAGTTATATTATTATCGTAAATGACATATTTATTTTAACCTACCCCAATATAGTCAATACTATACTAAATAAGCTTAGTAATTTTTAGAAAAAAAATGTTCGAATTTATTAAAAAATGTAATACGAAATATTTTTTTTTAATATGTTCTTATTTATACATTAATTTCGAATAACTATTTTATTATCACTTTTATGACAATATAGCAAATATAGCTGGCCGTATTTTTTCAATTTTTTTGTTGCAGAACGTAGGTATTCTGTGTTGAATGTCTTTTCTCTGACGTAGATCCCTTAGGTACATTCCATTCTAAGACCCACATTCCGCTGTCTGTAAATAAATCACAAAAGAAAAAGCGTTGTATAGAAATCCATAATACCCGATCTTCGTAGAACTACCTTACAGCTGTACCTAAATACCTAATGGATACACGCAGGGCGATAATTTGAAAAAGATACATTTGTAACTGCATTATTAAAAAGTGTTGGTACGTTCGGTGTAAAACATTTATAACTATGGATTCTGACTTAAAAATGAGATAGACATCTAAAATTAAAATTAAAACACACTTTAATATTTAATACCTACTTCTGTATTTTGAAAATATTATAAAATGTTTGCTGTCTGGGAGTCATATTTTATCGTTATTGAGAATACAGAAAATTGACTTTCAGATCAATAATACACAGTTAAAATAATAAAAAAAAATAGTATCTTAAAATATAATGTTACTATTAGGGCAATATAGAAAATAAGACAATATGTATACGAACACTTTAAAATGAGCCTAACGGTACTGAAGGACACATTGGGAATAATTCAATACCATTTGTACTCATATAAATTTGATTTATTCTATTATTAATAAACTCATTGTAATTTTAACATTCGTATTTTTTCGATTGTATTTTCGTTTATTTTAGTTAACTTTTTACCCGTAAAACTTATAAATATGTATTTTATAATAAAAAAAACTATATACAATGTACTGAGTAGTAAGCTGTGTCGAATTGGCGACTCACTTGGTGAGCAGTCCACCATTATATTTGAATTAAGTTGTTTACATATAATCAAATTATTAGTAAAAATATGATTAGTACTAAACTGCATGTGCACTTACACTAATAAAAAAGAATTCTGGCAAATAATTAATGTCTCTGAATGACACAATGTTACTGTTGATTTCAAAACCACCAGACAACAGATTATTTCTTAAATGCTTTACCAAATTAATTTATTATTATTTATTATTATACTATTATTTGATAATGGTTACTGTGTTATTGTGTAAGAGTGACGCCTATAATACTTATATTATTACAATGTAAAAATACAGAATTTTATGGTTTGGAAACTGATTTGGAAAATAAGTTTAAACTTCATCGAGCAGACACCTGTCAATACGTTCTAAGGGTGAAGGCGTATTGGTACCAGTCAGCCTGTATTATAATAAAGTAATGATAATCACGATGACCCACGTTTTCTTGTGAACTTGCATGGCCATAAGGGCTTTAGAATTCTTTGATGGACATTTTGCTTTGAAGAAAAAAATATCGTACAACATTTTTTGAAATATTTTGTAAATCATTTTTTTTTAGTGCTTATTCTAGCTTATTTTATTTTTAACCTCCTTCGAAGAGTAAATAACTTTTTAACGACAAATAGTGTAAACAATTTTTTTGGAGGGACTAGGAAATGTAAACAAACGTACTATACCGGGCACCCTTTTTTAAACCGTATTATAGTGTTTTTTTTACGCCGATTCGAATATAAAGTCACCGTTAGGTGGACTTGTCTAGTCCTACTTGAACATTGAATTTTCCCCCTATATAACAGTTGGCGATGGGCGGGGTGGCTGATCTGTGCGATGGTGGTAGTGGCAGCTGCACCATTCAGCTGTTGTCGGCGACGCGAATCACGATTATTTCACACAGCAGTTTGTTTTCAATAAATTACCATAACCATAATATTATACCAACTTAGTTGTAGCAAAAAGAAAAAAAAAGGTTCTGGCAATGCGGGGCGTTGACTATGTACAGGGTGATCCAACTGATGCGAGACGCTCATTTTATTTTGAAAATTCATTTTTCCTATAATTGTAGGTACATATTTTACTACATTTTTCAATAAATGAAAATCTGTTTGCTTGCTATGACTTTGTAGAGATTTTAATTTTAAATCAATAGTTTGCTGTTTTAACAGCAGTAGCACTTCTATTTTGCTATTTAATAATAATATTGATCTGAGATCTCCATCGATAATAATGACACAATTTTTTTTGGTTGCAGTAAAGGACCGCACACTTATGATTTCAACCCCAATAAGGTCGGTAGACCAAAACCACACACTTTATCGGTTGCCAGGTAGGTACATTATTTAGCCAAATACTGCACACTTATATTGGGTAAAAAGTGGTACAACTGAAAACTTTGGAAGATGCTCTAAATTTTGTTTTAAATTACAATATTTCAACCTGCCAAAACGAAAAAATGACCAATGTGTAAATATTGAATTTTTATTTAATCTTTATGATGAATATTTAGCTGACAGTAGTTTTACATATAAACCAAAATATTTTTATCAACAGTATTGTTGAGGCTATAACAGGTAATGGAGCGCAATTCTATGCCGGTTATCGCCAATGATACAGATGCCTTCTTATCTTGGTTGTCGCGGCCGTCCACACCACTCCGCCTTACTCCGCACGATCTATACTGGCATTACTACCGGTCAGCTGTTCACACACACACACACACACACACACACATATACGCACCGGGTTATACTATGTAAACAAATGTGCCACGCCCGTATTATCAGTGTTAGTAGTGCACTTGTTGCATTCTTGTGAATTTTAAAGTATAATATTAATCTAGACTTTTTTGTGTGTTTTTCTTCAGTGTTTTTTAGTTTTAAGTGTTATTATAGTATTTTTAAGCCATAAGGGCACTGTGATTTTTTATTATTATTGTCTTAAGGACAAAAGATTGTTTATTATTGTATTTTTAAGCCATAAGGGCATTATTGAGTTGTCATAAGGACAAAAAATTGTTTATTATTGTATTTTTAAGCCATAAGGGCATTATTGAGTTGTCATAAGGACAAAAAACTATTTTAATATTTTTGTTTTGTTGTTCACTTTACTTTGTGTCTAGTATTATTTAGGTTTAGGTAGCAGCCCTGGCCAGCGGTTTGCAGTTCTTCGGTTTGTGAGTACTTTTTATTTATACCATATTTTATTGAGTTTGTTTTATTTGTATTTTAGTTAACTACTGTGAATTATTAGAACATATTTTGATCTCATTTACTAAATACAAGTTAGGGCGATAGACATAAGGTTAATCGTACCTTCTATATTGCTAGTTAGCCATAAGGGTTCAATCTAGTCAATATTTGTATTTGTGAATAATTTTTGTTGTTCTAATAACCACCTTAGTTATCAAAATACTTTTAACGTCATAAGCTTTAAGCACTCACTTAACCTTACCTTTTAATCTAGTCATTACTATATTAATTATTTATTTGTGTTTGTGAATTATTATTCACAGACCAGATTAATTTATTATTGTGCCAAAAGGGCAATTAATTTCTTTTTAGCTTACCAATTTTTTTTTTTATACTAATTATTTATTTGTGTTTGTGAATTTTATTCACAATTGTATCTTGAGCCAAAAGGGCTAATTATTTATTTACTTATTATAGCATTTTATTGAATATTATTATTATTATTATTATCATCGAGTTTGAGTTTTATTTATTTAGTTTTTAGTTATAGTTTTAAGTTTCCTACACATCCACACTATACACACTAAACACACTTTTGCACCACATAGCTCACTGGTCTTGTGTAGGCGATCCCTCACACTTCCAGTGAGACTATTTACCCCACTACCCACACAGCACTGATCGGTAAGTGTAAGGCAATTGGTAACCGGGTAAGTGGCCTACTATTGTCCGCCCCCGGCCCGTTCATTTTGGTGACCTCGACGTGATATTTTTTATTTTTTATACCGTTCTAGTGTTCTGTGTTTTGTTGTTCAATTTTGAATTTCATTTTGTGTGTTGAATCATTTCTATTGAGTTATTTTGTGAATTTTAGTAAACTCTTGGAAACGCGTTACCAAATTTAATAGTGTTTTTGATTAAATTTCTTTAGTAAATAAAAAAGTAATAGTAAAATTGAGTGATTTAATTTGAGACTGAGTAACTAACCAATTTGGGTACTTCAATTTCGTTATTATTTTATATTATTTTTTTTTGTCTTGTTTGGTATTTAAAATCTGTGTTTTTCGATATTATTCTGCATCGTTCTAATTCATCAAAATGGTACTAGACGAAAACGCACAAAAACTGTTGACAGAATTAAAACGAAAACGAGGCGTTGTTAAAGCTTCACTTACGCGCGTTCGAACATTTATTTCAAAATTCGATCCATCCGAACAAGCTTTATCACTACTGGAGTTCAGACAGGAAGAGCTTCCTCAAATAAATCGTAAGTTTGATGGTATTCAATGCGAAATTGAACTTATTGATTCTGATGACACTGAAGAAGCTGAGTTGGAAAGGGATAGATTTGAAAGTGAATATTTTGCAATACGATCACAAATCCAAGAAATTATCAATCAAGAAAAGGGATTAAATACAACGGGCCACAATCAATCGTACGGTGGCACATACGTTCCGGCTCGAGTTCAATTAGCGCCAATTCCTTTACCCAAGTTTGATGGCGATATTCAAAAGTGGTCGTCCTTTTATGACGTCTTTAAAGCTATGGTGCACAATGATGACGCATACTCAGTTGCTCAAAAGTTCTTCTATCTGCGTTCGTGTTTAGAAGGATCAGCATTGGATTTAGTGCGCTCAATTCCTGTTAGTGACGCCAATTACGAAACTGTTGTCAGGCGGTTAATACAAAGATTTGACAATCAAAGCCTGGTGATACAGTCACATATTCAGTCCATACTCGACTGTCCTCAAGTCGAAGAAGCATCCTCTGAGACAATAAACGAATTATTACTCTGAGTTAGAAAAGCTTAAGGAATTATCTATTCCCCGAAAATGTATTTACAATGCTAACGCCTTAGTTGAGTTACATGGATTCTGTGACGCATCTATGGAAGCCTATGGTGCCTGCATTTATGTTCGTTCATTAGGCTATGACGGGAAATGGCATGCACAGCTTTTGTGTTCAAAGACTCGAGTTGCTCCACTTAAAGGAGTGACTATTCCTAGATTGGAGCTAAATGGAGCAGTACTGTTAGTGCAATTAGCATACAAGGTTGCAGAGTCATGGAAAATAGATGTGCAATCATTTAAACTCTGGACAGATTCCATGATTGTACTCGGTTGGCTGAATAGTGATTCTAGTAGATTAAAGGCATACGTGGCTAACAGAGTCGTTCAAATACTTGAGGTATCGACTGCGGAGCAATGGCGACATGTGAGAACCGATGAGAATCCTGCAGACGTTGTCTCTAGAGGTCTAAGGCCACAGGAATTAGTCGACAACAACATATGGTGGACGGGCCCGAGCTGGCTTTCGGAAGACGAGAGTGGTTGGCCACGTATCGCAAACGTAAGGATGGCAGAGGACGACGTGCCTGAACTGCGAACAATTCGGTTAGCTTTAACTGGCATGATAGTGCCAGAAATGGACATGCTACTACATCATTCGGAGTGGAGCCGATTAAAAAGAGCAACCGCTTGGCTCTGGCGCTTCATCGACTATCAGTGGCCGCGATTCTCAAAGGTTGTTCATGAAACCAGTTATCTAACGGTGAGTGAGTTGCGAAGAGCCGAGTCTTCAATATTGAGAAGAGTTCAGACAGAGGCTTTTCCGGAGGAACTTCGGGCGCTACAAAACGGTAAGGAGTTGCCGACTCGGAGTAAGCTAAGATGTTTGCACCCATTTTTGAAGGATGGACTCATTCTGGTAGGAGGACGGTTGAAGAATGCCAACATACCTGATACGCAGAGACACCCTATTGTCTTACCACCTAGCCACAAGGTAACTCGATTGTTAATGGAGTATACACACAAGGAATTGCTGCACGGTGGTCCTCAAAGCATGCTGGCTGAAATGAGAAGGCGCTATTGGCCATTAAGAGGCCGGGTGATGGCACGCTCCGTGGCGCATAAGTGTGTAAGGTGCATACGCGTCAAGCCAACTATGCTACAACCAATTATGGCTCCATTACCACGGGATCGAGTTCAGTGCAGTAGGCCGTTTGCTATAAGTGGCGTAGATTTTGCGGGACCGCTCATCATTAGAAGTGGAGTACGCCGAGTAAGTGGCAGGAAAGCATGGATCGCAGTGTACGTTTGTTTCTCTACAAGAGCTGTCCACTTAGAGCCTGTGGAAGATCTCACGAGTAGTGCATTTATTGCTAGCCTGCGACGGTTCATGGCACGTCGAGGCAAGTGCACTAAAATCTACAGCGACAACGGCACGAATTTTGTGGGAGCACAAAAAGAGCTAAGTCCTTGTTTAGCTGGTATCGACGACAAGATGGCAAAAGAGGGAGTAGAGTGGCATTTCAACCCACCATCCGCCCCTCATTTCGGTGGTTTGTGGGAGAGCGCAGTAAAGACGACAAAGTTCCACTTAACACGCGTGATAAAGGATGCTCGTCTAACTTTAGGAGAGTTAACCACGTTGTTGTGCCAGGTGGAAGCGTGCGTTAACTCTCGGCCTATGACACCGCTTAACAGTGACCCTTCAGAAGCGGAAGCAATCACCCCAGCTCATTTCTTAATTGGTGGCCCAATGATGATACCACCAGAAGCGAACATACCCGAAGAGGACGTTCAACATCTACGTCGTTGGCGCTTTGTGCAAGGCTTAATGCAAAGCTTCTGGAGGCGATGGCATGCCGAATATCTACCACAACTTCAGGTGCGAGGCAAGTGGACTTACCAGAAAAAGGACCTAGTAGTTGGAGACGTGGTTATTATAAAAGAGGACTGTACTCCACCAACAAAGTGGAAGCTAGGACGAGTAGTGCAACTACACCCAGGGAAAGATGGCACAGTTCGAGTAGTCACATTAAAAACTGCCAATAATAATGAACTCCGTCGGCCCGCCGTAAAACTCTGTCGACTGCCAATCGAGTCAGAAGACAACCAAGATGAATAGTATTGTGGTTGAAACTTAAGGTTTCAACGGGGGAGGATGTTGAGGCTATAACAGGTAATGGAGCGCAATTCTATGCCGGTTATCGCCAATGATACAGATGCCTTCTTATCTTGGTTGTCGCGGCCGTCCACACCACTCCGCCTTACTCCGCACGATCTATACTGGCATTACTACCGGTCAGCTGTTCACACACACACACACACACACACACACATATACGCACCGGGTTATACTATGTAAACAAATGTGCCACGCCCGTATTATCAGTGTTAGTAGTGCACTTGTTGCATTCTTGTGAATTTTAAAGTATAATATTAATCTAGACTTTTTTGTGTGTTTTTCTTCAGTGTTTTTTAGTTTTAAGTGTTATTATAGTATTTTTAAGCCATAAGGGCACTGTGATTTTTTATTATTATTGTCTTAAGGACAAAAGATTGTTTATTATTGTATTTTTAAGCCATAAGGGCATTATTGAGTTGTCATAAGGACAAAAAATTGTTTATTATTGTATTTTTAAGCCATAAGGGCATTATTGAGTTGTCATAAGGACAAAAAACTATTTTAATATTTTTGTTTTGTTGTTCACTTTACTTTGTGTCTAGTATTATTTAGGTTTAGGTAGCAGCCCTGGCCAGCGGTTTGCAGTTCTTCGGTTTGTGAGTACTTTTTATTTATACCATATTTTATTGAGTTTGTTTTATTTGTATTTTAGTTAACTACTGTGAATTATTAGAACATATTTTGATCTCATTTACTAAATACAAGTTAGGGCGATAGACATAAGGTTAATCGTACCTTCTATATTGCTAGTTAGCCATAAGGGTTCAATCTAGTCAATATTTGTATTTGTGAATAATTTTTGTTGTTCTAATAACCACCTTAGTTATCAAAATACTTTTAACGTCATAAGCTTTAAGCACTCACTTAACCTTACCTTTTAATCTAGTCATTACTATATTAATTATTTATTTGTGTTTGTGAATTATTATTCACAGACCAGATTAATTTATTATTGTGCCAAAAGGGCAATTAATTTCTTTTTAGCTTACCAATTCTTTTTTTTATACTAATTATTTATTTGTGTTTGTGAATTTTATTCACAATTGTATCTTGAGCCAAAAGGGCTAATTATTTATTATTACTTATTATAGCATTTTATTGAATATTATTATTATTATTATTATCATCGAGTTTGAGTTTTATTTATTTAGTTTTTAGTTATAGTTTTAAGTTTCCTACACATCCACACTATACACACTAAACACACTTTTGCACCACATAGCTCACTGGTCTTGTGTAGGCGATCCCTCACACTTCCAGTGAGACTATTTACCCCACTACCCACACAGCACTGATCGGTAAGTGTAAGGCAATTGGTAACCGGGTAAGTGGCCTACTATTGTCCGCCCCCGGCCCGTTCAAGTATAATATACACGGATGGAGCAGGAATTATTTTTTCCCTTTAATACATTGCCTTCGAAATCTGAATTGTGTTATTTAAAAATGTGGACCAATATTCAACATTTATATATGGAGTTAGGATAAGTTATAAACTTTAACATTATCCACCTAGATTTTGAGATAGCTATTCATAATGCTGAACAAAAAACATTTAGTGGAGTACCAGAACCAGTACCATAAGGGAATTCAAAATATTGTCCTTCCAATTGAAAAACAAAAAAAGTTAGTTAATAGGCACATTTTAAAATTGTTAATACGTCATTTTGAATTAATTTGGGTTTATTTTTAAGACCACTTGTTTAAATGTTGTTAAATCTTAAATTTTTCAACATATAAATTGTACCTAAAAAATGTTCTTTGAATACATATATAAATAATAAATAATAGTTTATACATCATTATACCATGTGCGGTTTTTGGATACAGCAATTTTTAAAAGTGTGCGGTTTTAACCTACTAAATGTGTGCGATTTTAACCTACCAAAAATGTGCGGTTTTGCCCTGTATTTTATTACAAGTGTGCGGTTATTGGTGTCAACGTTTTTTTCATTTAGGTAGGTATATGGACAATCGATTCTTTATCTACCTGCTCGGAAACAAAGACGGCTGTATGTAAAATGGGCCAAAATGACCCTATTTCTATATAGCTGGTATGTAAAATGCGGCAAAAAAAAATTCAACATTCTACAAACTCACTGAACTAATATACTGTTTATAGTTCAGTGTACAAACTGCGACAATTTATTTTATATACCTACTATATAATATAATATACGTCGTATATACATTAACATATAGTATAGGTAAAGAAATCATAATATATAGATGCTATACAGGATGTTCAAGTTGACACATAAATAAAAATCAGAAGTGCAGAAGAAGGTGTAATACAACAACGAAGTAAAATAATAACACAAAAATACAAATTTACTAACGAAAAGTGACAGAAAAAAGAAAGAAGATAAACCGATTTGAAGATACGAATTTTCGAAAAAAGTATGTTAAGTATAAACAACAAAATATTAAATAAATTAGATTAAATGTAAACAATGAATGTATTATTATTTCAATTTTTAATTTTCTTAGACAGTATAATCTATTAGATGTACAATCATTTTTAATGTTAGTTAAATAATAACATTTTTCAATTTCATATTTTAAAATTGTTTTTTCATTTTAATTTTTACAACTTTACTGAGTTTATTCCTTTTACGTGCACACCATAGTTCTACAATAAAATATGTTATAAGATAGCATTCGTATCGGTATGTATATATTATAGTAGGTATATAAAATAAATTGTCGCAGCTTGTGTATCAGATATATCAGTTTATGAAAAGGGTCATTTTGGTGCAGTTTACCATCTCCCACAAAGACACCTCATACAACCGTCATCCGTTCACATATCGTATCAGTAGACTGTAAATTAGACGAAATTACCTAAACCACTTTTGCGGTAATAAATGATTATAGTAAAACGATAATATGATCACAATATCCGTACAAAACATGACGACACCGGACCACAATAATATAATATTGCTCATTTGAAGTTTATATTTCACCTATAGCCTATAACTTAACGGCATACATATGAAAGTGTTCTTCTCAATTCTCACACACAATACACAACGTGAACTTACACAGTTAAAGTGTACCATACAAATTACATATTAATGGTTGTAGTATGCATCGGTTGTTATTTTACCTGCAAACAAAATTGTTACATGATGTTCTGATTATAAGCCAAATTACATCATCAGCCTAACAGGTCTTTTAGGCCCAATGCTGCCATCATGGAATGATGGTTTTTTGGACAGATTCGCTGTCCGAGACGGGTCGTCAGTCCGTTGCCGCTAAGGAAGATGGCAGCTCTTTTGGCGATTGCTCGACCGGCAAATGGAGCGCCTGTATCGAGCGTCGAACTAGCGACATTGAGTGCTAACACACTGTGCCTACCCACTGGCCACTCTTCCTCTTAAAAAACCAAATAGTATGTTATATTATATAATGAAACATTTTTGAAAAAAATATCCTAAAAACACTTCAGTTTTCTTAACTCTCATGGAAACTATTTTGTGATGTGGTGCTGTTTATTCTTGAACTATTTAAGTTTATATAATTAATTGAAAACAGATTGTAAATTGTTGGTACTAGGGTAAGATGCGTTGATAGGATATTTATAATATACAGTGATCAACCACATGCGGAACAGACTAGGCTAGCTTAGCCTAGTCTTGCCTAGCCTAGCTTTGAAATGTTGTTGGTAAAAAGTTTGTTGTACAGCTACGCGTATAGTGCGGCATTGTCGGATGTGAACATTTAACATACACTGCTGGTACCATTGGACATATATCCGAAATGTTTACTTCCGCGTTTACCGGTCAAATTCACATCCGCCAGCTCTACTTCTGGTATTAGCACAAATTTACTCCTACTTAAAACATTGTACCCCGCGTAAAGATGTTTACACATCAAAATAGTTTTTGCTCTATTATATGAAACTTGTCAATTTTAAAATTAATATGGAAAAGATACTTGATTAGGATATTAGTTAGGTTATGTCTTCGATCAAGGAACTTAAAAAAACTAAAATTTTAAAGAAATTGATTCATATGTAGAAAATTGCTGCGAGTTGTTGGAAGAAGATCAACTATCAACTAATGAACAACCATCTTACATATTCTAAGTCCTAACAACATTTATAAATTTAGTATTATTAACCTCTTAATTTCTTCTATTTATTACCTCTGCTGAATTAATTTGACTTTTTTTTTTATAATATGCCTAAATAATAAATTTAGTTTCAATGGATCATATTAGGTTGAAGTAAAAAAAAAAAAAAAATTTATTGACCTGATATTTAAGTTTTAAATTTATACGACAAGGGGTTACCAAACACAGCACATAGCGTAAACAACGCATACTATATATAGTCAATAGCTGATACTAACCGACAACATATATAAGCCTTTGGCGAATAGTAATTAAGAGTAAGAGCAAATTTGTTTATCTCATCAATATAAACACAACCAATGAGTTTTCTTTTTTTATTAACCAGTTCATTTTTTTTAAATTTCAAGTTGAATGTTATTAAATTCATTTTCAAGAACATCACATGGATTATTTTCGATCAACCCTTTATTTTTAAGTTCTACTAATAAATCTTTAAGAGTTTTTATTTTAGTTTACAGTCTCCTAACTTTTGTTGATACATTTTAAGTTTACTCTTAATTATTATTTTGCGAGGTGTAGCTGGACTTTTAGTTAATCACCCTGTACAAATTAAACATTTTTTTTACATCCTACTTCCCGTTTTTTAAATCTTACTTAACAGATCGTTTTTTCAAAATCCGTCTTGGTTCCACATTATACGATATAGCCTCTATAAATGCGGGAGTATTCTATCTATAGAAAGTATTCTATTTCCAGTCCTTAACAATGTTTATGCCTCAGATCAACCCACAACTCCAAATACAATTGCCGCAGATTATGCTGACGACAAAGTCATTTTGTCCTGCAATTATCACCCTCAGATTGCATCTGATAATTTGCAAAATCATCTTCATTTAATGGAAGACTGGTACACAAAATAGAGACTTAAAATTAATCAATAAAAATCAGTTCATACTACCTTTACTCTAAGACTTCTTCCTCGTCCTGGTGTTTCCCCATACGGAGTACAAATCCCTTCCTCTTCCTTTGTCAAGTACCTCGGTCTCACACTTGATAAGCGACTCACGCGGTCTCAGCATATAATATTAAACGCTCATCTTTGAATAACCGTCTGCGGTTTCTCAAATCATTAACCATAAACAATAAATTTACAGGCATTAATACTAAACTTCTAATTTATAAAACCCATATGGACTTCAGGCCTTCAGCTATGGGGAAATGCTAAAAAAATCCAATGTTTTCAAAATATAGCTTTAAGAAAATGAATTGCATTGCACGGTGCAGCTCCTTATATTTCTAATTATACACTCCATTATGATATTCACGGGCCACGAAGAAGCCATTTCATTCTATAAAAGATTCCACAATAAATTACTCTTCCACTCTAATCCTTTAATAAATAACCTTTCAACCTTGACCATACCTGGAGACCCACCCAGATGTTTAAAACGAAAGTGGTGCCGGGATCTGCTTTCTAATAATATTATTTAATAACAATGTATAATTAAGTCAATTTAAATATAAATATAAAAATTTTAAAAAATCATGGGAAGTGATTTATTTCTTTAAAAACTTTATTCATGTAATTTCTTTCTACGCTTATCTTATGTGCTTATTTTACACATTGTATATATCTTATTTGAATAATAAATAAATAAAAAACATTTCTGAATCTTTATAGCGACTCTATACCAACTCATACTTGGTGACATGCAAAAAGTTCCTTACCATCTTATAAACGTAAAAAAGAATTCTATGGTGGGTCCTTGGCTAAATACATGTTTTAAAAAAAATACGGAGATTACTTTTAAATTTTAAGATATTTTATTTATAATATTAAATTAAAACATTAATGGTATTTATTCATTACTATATTATTTTAAAAATTGAGGCATTTGGAGGTTTTATTATTAAGCCTGTTGGTAAAGTAGTGGTAAATTTGGCTAACATTAAAGTAAAGTTATGTAGTAGTTGACACTAACGATATTATTCGACAGTAAAATAAATACATTATAGTAAATTAAATTTTTAAAACGAAATAAAAAATATTGATGTTTTTACCGGAATGGGTTAGTTTCCAGACCAGGTAGCTATTAAATTGAGTAAAGAAGCTATACCTAAAATATGCCCTGCAAGAAGTGTACCTTATGCTATAAAAGATAAATTGAGAGAAACATAAATGAATTAGTTGACCAGAATATCATAACAGAAGTAAATGAGCCTTGTGAGTGGGTAAGTAATCTAGTAGTAGTTGAGAAACAAGACAAAACTTTTCGCATATGTCTAGATCCCTCTGAGCTAAATAAATATATTGTAAGAGAGGTATATCAAATACCATCGTTAGAGGAGATTAAAAAAGAGCTAACAAATAAATACATTTTCAGTGTCTTAGATGTTAAAAGTGGTTTTTATCATATTATCTTAGATGATGCATCTAGTAAGTTGTTTTGTTTTAGTACACCATTTGGTATTTATAAATTTAAAAGATTAGCATTTGGAGTGTCATCAGCTCCTGAAATTTTTCAAAAACTAATGCATAGGTATTTTGGTGATATCAAAGGGGTTGTGTTGTACTTTGATGATTTGCTTGATTGTGCTCAAAGTAAGGAAGAGCATGACATAATATTAGATAAAGTTATTGAGCGGGCAAGATTATTAAACATTAAATTTAATGTGAATAAGTTGCAGTTATGTGTCAAAGAGGTAAAATATATTGGTTTTCTTTTCAATCAGGAAGGGATTAAGCCAGACAAAGATCGAATAGAGTCAATAATTCATTTAAAAAAACCAAATAATAAAAAAGAATTGCAGATGATATTGGGAATCATAAATTATGTTAGAGAGCTTATTCCTAATTTAGCAGAAATTTCAAGTTCCCTAAGAGAGCTGTTAAAGAAAGATGTGGTTTGGGATTGGAATAGGGTTCATGATGACTCTTTTAATAATATTAAGAACCTTATTGCAGAAGTCACAGTAGTAAGTTACATATGACCCCAAGTTTCCTATAGAGATCCAGTGTGATGCGTCACAGGAGGCAATAGGTTGTTGTCTTATGCAGCATAAAAATATTATCATATTTTTCTCGTTCTTTAACTGATACCGAGAAGTCTTAGGCTCAAATCGAAAAGGAATTTTTAGCTGTTACTGAATCGTGTAAAAAGTTTCATAACTACATTTACGGAGAATAGGATACGGTTATCTATAAATATATATGCTTTCACCATCCTAACGACTTTAGCTGGTATTCCAAAATGGACCATTACGTTCCATAGCGTACTTCTAGCTATCGAGTCATAGGCTTGTTTGAAATCCATAAATAACAGGTACACATCTTTATCAAATTCATGACTCTTTTCGGTTATTTGTTTGATAACATGTATTTGGTCAGTCGTGGATTTTCCAGCTGTAAAACCTGCTTGGTATACTCCTACTATCTCTTTAACATACGGTGGTTTCAGTCTATTTCAAATTATGTTAGTGAGAACTTTATACGATGTGTTAAGTAAGGATATACCTCTATAGTTTTGGCAGTCCATTACATCTTCTTTGTTTGTTGTGTATAATTATAGTTTAGTGTTTTTGAACAGAGTTCAAGTTGTGATAATTTTTTCGCATTATCAACATAATTTTACCTTGGTATTTATTATTTTATTTATGTTTTTCTCTCATTCAAATAATATAATAATTACAAATTTGATTAATGTTAAATTTTAAAGACAAATTTAGTGTCTCGTTTTAGTGTTCTGTGCTCAGTATTTCTCTTGGTTGGTTTTGAATTTTTGTTGAACGAGTCATAATGACTAATTCTACAACCTCGGTAGTAGAAAGTAGAGCCTATCGACTAGCAAATAGAAAGAGAGCCACAAGTGTTGCCGATATCAAGGCTTTCAAAAGATGTTCAGAAGCGTTCAATGTGAACACAAACACACACTCTCAAATTCAAATAAGACTTGATCAAATACCGGTGATGTTGAAACAATATATAGAGGCGTATGACGAGGTGGAAACGTTAGATGAAGAAGATATTGAAACAAACGCTCGAGCAATAGTACGGTCAGAGTTCATGGAGTTAGTGTGTGATACAAGGGCCGCACTATTAGAATTATTGCACAAACACAAAAGACAACCATCAGAGGCGGCCAATAGCAGTGTTAGTGTTTCCACAGAGTCGATGAAGTTACGACCAGTGTCAATGCCAAAGTTCGACGGTAACTGGCAAGATTGGTCGGAATTTAAAGATTCATTTGAGGCAATGTTTCATAATAATAAAAAATTAGCTGATGTCCAAAAGTTTCATTATTTAAAATTATGTTTGTCCGGAGCAGCAATGGAGGTGGTCAAAAACATACCTACAACAGACAACTACGAGCAAGCGTATTAATCCTTGGTGGAAAGATATGAAAACAGTTCTTTAATTATTCAATCACACATAAGGTCATTATTTGATACACCTAGTGCAAAGACTCCGTCTGTTATTGAACTTCGCAGACGGCAGTTGTTAAATTCTGGGCACAGATAACACACCTCACCTATGCAGAGCGGTGTTGGACTCCGGGTCACAGCTGAGTTTTATGACTGAACAATGCAGAAGACGATTGCAATTGCTAGTATCTCACAATACAACTGCCGTTGCCGGTATTGGGAGAACCACCACAACAGCAAACAAATCGAGTCCGTCAAGGTTTGGTGATTTTACTTTCACGGTCGAAATGTATGTTTTACTAATAATAACCGGGCCATTGCCAACACAAACAATAGCACTCAATAAAATTTCTTTGCCAACACACATTAAGGACAGGTTAGCTGATCCTTATTTCGATCGATCCTAAACAGAAGATCTATTGCTAGGAGCCGATGTGTTCTATGAATTGTTTTGTGGGCAATCAGTAGCAGTGTCAAATCGTTCTTGGGCCTGCAATACAAAACTTGGCTGGATAATCATTGGGAAAACTCCTATCACACATTTAGCTGTGGTAGACAACCCTTGTAGTAACTCTTAAATCAATCATGCAGCAGCTCTATCCTAGTTCAGCTCAAAGGCAGCTACCCAGAAGGCAGAAGAAATTGAAGCCGAGCGCTATTTTCAAGAAACTTGTAAACTCGACGGGCGTTTTGAAGTTCGATTGCCATTTAAACAAAACCCTACTGCACTTGGACTGTCCAGAGGAATGGCGGAGAGAAGACTTCTAGCCATTAGGTTAGTTAAAAATCCGGGTTTAGCAGCGGAGTACCAACGGTTCATGCAGAAGTATATTGACATGGGACATATGGAACTAATAACTAACCCTTCTGAAGCGGAGTACACTTATTATTTGCCTCATCATGCTGTGGTAAAAGAAGACAGTTTGCCCACTAAAACCAGAGTGGTATTCGATGCGTCGGCAACAACTACATCAGGGCTATCCTATTCATGGTAAGATCGATGCTAGCCGTTTACTTAATAGAGTCACATTTTATGTACCTAGGATTGAGTCCCGTAAATAAACAGGTTTTCGAAATCAGCACTCAGAAAACAAGCTATTTATGTAATGACCCTATCCAAAGAACCATGAATATAATTAACTCGGACCCCAGTCTCCTAAACTTTTAGTCCTAGTGAAGTATAAATTAAATCTTAGACTCGGCCCACAGAATGTTTTATTTTGATACTATGTTTATTTTTACTTTCATTTGCATGCGTCTCACTATTTTTAACTGTATACTATTAATAATAATTTTAATTTAATTGTCATCTTTATTATTTACTAACATGTATGTATTTTCTTGTAAATTGCCGTCAGGCGTAAAATAAATAAAAAACAACTTTGGGCCTTGAAAATCGATTGGGACACAGTAGTTTCGTCAGACATTCAAACGCGGTGGACTAAGTTTTATTGTAGTCATCGAGATATTGAACATCTGTCTATTCCACGAAAGGTATTGGTTGGTTTGAAAAGCAGTGCCATCAGTGTACACGGGTTCTGCGATGCGTCACAACACGCGCATGGGGCATGTTTGTATATACGGTCAAAAATATGTAATTCAAATGACTGGACGTCAATATTATACACCTCCAAATCAAGGGTGGCGCCCATTCGACTTACTACCATACCGACTAGAATTATGTGCGGCAGTTCTACTGATCGAGATGTTAAGTGAGATACTCGAAGAGTATAGACACCTCCAGTTGTGTATTGGAGAGGAGGACATAGTGCTTTGGACCGATTCGGCTATAGTTTTATCATGGATAAAACAGAGCTACCACTTAAATCATATGTGTCCAATCGAGTAATGCAAATTCGAGAAGTGTCGCAACCAAGTCAATGAAAACATGTGCTAACACAGGACAACCCAGCGGATTTAATTTCAAGAGGAATCGCAGCAGATGAATTGAGCAATCGTTCTTTGTGGTGGCATGGGCCAAATTGGATTCGGTCTTTACAAGATTCATGACCGTTCCAAGATATTAGTTGTGATATGTGGTAACACTGTTCAAGATTAGCCTATCAATAAAAACAGTACTTGATAACAGAGTTCTTATATGTAATTCATGTGTAATGCTATGTTTTAAAAAAAAAGTATTTTCTTTTCAAAAATAATTAAATGGTACTTTATCTTTTACAATAATTGTGATACAAGTATAAAACATAACATGGCGCAGTCGTTGAACTTATAATAAATACAATCATAATCGTAATAATTACGAAAACTAAGATCAAAAAGGATACAGATCATGGAGTATAACAAGCCGTCATATTTGAAGTTAACGGGTAATCTTCATGAAAATTACAAACAGTTCAAACAAGAAGTAGAACTATATTTTACAGCAAATGAGACATATGAGAAGGATCAAAAAGTTCAAGTAGCAAGATTGTTAAATTTAATAGGAGCAGACGGACTTAAATTGTATAACACGTTTAAATTAGAAGAAATAACGGTTAGTGCAATTTTTAAAAGTCTAGAAGAGTACTGTGTACCTAGAAAAAATGATATAATGGAACATTACAGATTTTTCACAAGAAAACAAAGTGAAAATGAGACATTTGATAAGTACTATACAGATTTGAGAGAACTAATTAAATCATGTTCTTTCAAAGACACAGAAGAGGCACTGCTACGAACACAAATTGTACTCGGAATACGTGACAAAGATCTTTAAGCAAGACTCCTAAGAGAAGACCTACCGTTGGAAAAGGTAGTGAAACACTGTCAATTAATTGAACAGGGTGAAAATAATCGTAAACTGATTATTCAAGAAAATGAGAAAAGAGTAGACGTTGTGGAACAGGAAAGAAAATTTTTAACAAGGAAAACTATGGGAAAATGGCATCAACAAGAAAAATCAAGCCGACAATCAGGAAGCATACAATCACAGAAGTTTCAGAAATCCCAGGATACAGGTAGTACTCAATTTAAGTGTAATAAATGTGGTAAGACACATGGTTTTAAAGAATGTCCAGCATACGGTAAAAGATGTAATATATATTAAAAAATAAATCATTTTGCTGTAAAATGTAGAAATAAAAAAGTGAATAATGAACAAGTAAATGAATTAAATATAGAAAATGGAAAAGAAATTACATATTTGTCGTTAGATTCAGTAGAAATAGCTAAAGCAGGGATGTGGATAGACCAAGTTACAGTGGAAAATAAGGAAATGTTAGTAAAATTGGATACAGGTGCACAACTGAATGTAATGCCTTATAAATATTTTAAAGAAATTAATAGAAAATTAGAAAAGAGTTTATTAATAATTAAATCATTTGGAGGTTTTGAAATTAGATCCTTAGGAAAAGTGAGTGTCTGTAAAAAATGAAAATACTGAAATTGAAACTGACTTTAAAATAATTGATTATAACGATTTACCTATAATAGGATTAAAAGATTGCACAAGAATGAATTATAGTATGTTACAAATAAATGAAATTAAGAATGATGTTGAAAATACTAAAATGTTTGTTAAAAATAATATAGATGTGTTTACAGGATTAGGCAGTTTTCCTGAATGCATAACAATTAAATTAGAAGACCAGGCAATACCTAAATCGTTTCCACCGAGAAGAGTACCTTTTAAAATTACAGATAAACTGAAGGAAACATAAGAGGCAATGTGTAAATTGAGAGTAATTGAAAAGTGTGAACAACCGAGTGAGTGGCAAAGTAATATAACTGTCGTAGAAAAACCGGATAAGAGTATAAGAGTAAAAGAACCTATTATTAAACATTATTTCTCAAGTATTCCATTTCAGAAAATAGGTATGGATATTGCAGAGTTTAAAAATAGAAGTTATATAGTGATTGCTGATTATTACTCAAGGTGGATTGAAGTGAATAAATTAAAATTTAAAAATACCTCTGAAATAATTAAAAAAGGATAAAAAAGTTTCTAGTAGATTTGGAATTCCGGAAATATTAGTAGCTGATAATAATCCTTTTGGGAGTTATGAATTTAAATGTTTTGCCAGGGAATGGGGAATAAATATTGTTAATTCTAGCCCTAACTTTCCTAGGTCAAATGGATTGGCAGAAAAAGCAGTGGGTATAGTTAAAAAAATGTTAAATAAAAAAAATGAAGAGAATGGTGATTTGGATTCTTATTTACTGCATTATAGAAATACACCTGTGGCTAATTTACCATATTCACCAGCACAATTATTGCAGAGTAGGGAATTAAGAACATTAGTAAATAATTTTAATAAGGATATATTTATACCAAAAACAGTTGACTGTACTAATGAGTTAAAAAAATTAAGAGATAAACAGATAAAATTGTATAACAAAAAGGCTGGAAAGGAGGAGAATGAGTTTTTACCAGGAAGTAAGGTGCTACTGCAAGACAAGTTCACTAAGAAGTGGTCTAAAGGAATAATAGTAGAAAAAACAAAGTTCCCCAGATCATACATGGTAAAAGATGATAAAGGAAAATTACTAAGAAGGAATTCACACTTCATAAAGAAAGTTAAAGAATATAATGATTTTGATAGTTTTGATGAGGAAAATGATAAAACAATAAGAGAATACAAACATCTTGGGAAATCAGAAATTAACAAGGAGGAAGAAGAAAAAACAGATATGGGTAAGGAAGGGAATGATGAGAAAGTGAAGATAAGTAAAGAAAACTTTAATAAAACTAGGTCTGGTAGAATAGTAAAAAAGGTTGAAAAATATGGTTATTAAATATATTGTATAATAACCTATGTTTTAGTATTAATATTTTGTTTCATAAACTAAGAATCTATCGATTCTATTATGTAAATTATTTAATGGGTTTTAATTAGTATTTTGTCACATAATTGAAAATTTTGATTATGTATTTTAATTATGCTATATTCTTTTGTATATACAATTATTTTTTAAATGTAATTTGTTCTATAATATGTTAGTTGTGTAGCAATTACTTGT